ACCTCAGTGTCTGCTAGCCTGTCGAAAGGTCCACTGCTAAATGAAAGTAGCTTTCTAGGGACCTAAGGTTCAAAGGCATATCATTATAATGTTTCGTTCATTACGTTAACAAGGAGTTTTTGAGCACTCACACCTGGCTGTCCCTGTTTTAGGGACTGAGACAAAGTCCCTTCTCTCATGGAACTGACATTCTTTTGAGGCCAGATATACTAAACAAACAAAACCAATCCGAATAAAGAAACAAGAAGAGTTTCATAGGCTGAGAATGAAGTAAGTGATAAGGTTGCTACCATGGATTGGGCGGTAAAAAAAGAAAAAAGAAAAAAAGTCTCTCAGAAATGATCTCATTTAGGCCGAGATCTTCTGGATCTAGACTATAAGGAAGAAACCATACAGAGATTATAGGGGGGAAAAATTCAGGTAGAGAAAATAAACAGTACCAGACCTGGATGCAAGAAAGAAGCATGTTCACAGATCAAGAAGGCCAGTAAGCTGCCTGGGGGATAATAAGTGGGGTAGGGGGTAGTACTCACCGACACTGAAGGGAGGGAGGGAAGGGGCTAGAGCCTGCTGCGCTACAAAAGTCAGAGTAGGAGTTTAGATTTTATTTGAAGTGTGATGGGCAGCCATAAGAGATCCTTGAAATCTTCGGATTTGTTTTAGAAGTAGAGTCTGCAAGGCTTGCTTTCATCTATAGAATTTGTTGTGTTTTGATTTTTGAGCTTTAGCAATCCGTTGGGTGTTCAGATCATTCACTTGGCTGAGGGGAATTGTAATACGGAGGGTATCTATGGGGGAAATGCAAGAGTTTCATTTAAACATGGTAAGCTTGAGATGCATGCTAAATATCCAAGATACTTTAGATGCCAAGTCAGCTGTGGGGCATCTACTAGAGAGCTAGTGAGAGATTAGGCTGGAGAGAAAGGCCCGGCATATACAGCCAGTGGTTCCCTGGCAGACCTGTAAGAGATACCACACTTAACAGACGGATTAGAGGTAGAAAGGCCAATTAAAAAGGAGGAAGAGTAAAGTAAGGACTTGGAGACCTGTGAGCTCTAAGAAATCATTCAAGGAGGCAGTGGGCCACTGTATCTGATGCTACTTTAAGGTCACAGTAGATAAGAATAGTTCATCGCCTGCCAAATTTGGCAATACAGAGATCACCAGTGACCTTGGCAGCCGTGTCCCCAGTGGAGTGAGGGGAGATAAGCCTATACGGTGAGTTGAAAAGAAAATGCTAGAGAGGAAATGGAAATAGTGATGGTTGACAAACAGCTCAAGACTTCATGTAAGGGAGCAGAGAGAGTAGAAGCCGGAGGGAAACAAAAGATTTTTTTTTTCCTGCAGGAGAGCCCAGAGCATATATGAATGATGACAGGAATGAACTAGTAGGGAAGGAATAATGAGGAAGAGTCAGGAGTGAAGGCAGATACAACTACAGCAGGAAAGACTTTAAGGTGAAAGAGACTGGGATCCAAACGAAAAGCAGTAGGATGGGATGTGGAGACACTGTCTCCATAGAAACAGGAGGGAAAGAAGGGTGTACAGAGTCAGAGAGGTGATTTTGGTACTGACAATGGAGGGGTCCATCGCCCTCCATTTTCTCTACGTTGGAGATCAAAAAGGCATAACCTATTCTCACATGCAAGAAAAACAGACAAGCCAACATTTGGCATGACCCCACCACAGCTACAAACAAACAAACAAACAAACAAACAAACAACTCTGTGAACGTGAGCAAGGGAGAGGTAGGTACCTTGTACCCCGAGAAGTCTGGGAGAGGAAATGTGATCTCCTTTAGAGCATTTAAACCTCTCAAAATTCTCAAAACATGTTCCATTATGTCCTACTTTCCCATGACCATTCCTGACACTTTATTGTTTTTTAATATTTTTTAATGTTTGTTTATTTTTGAAAGAGAGACAGAGACAGAGTGTGAGCAGGGGAGGGGCAGAGAGAGAGGGGGAGACACAGAATCTGAAGCAGGCTCCAGGCTCTGAGCTGTCACCACAGAGCCTGAAACAGGGCCCAAACTCACAAACCATGAGATCATGACCTGAGCTGAAGTCGGACGCTTAACCGACTAAGCCACCCAGGCACCCCCATTCCTAACACTTTAATGTCCCCTTCCTGACAGACTTCTCCCCATATTCTGCTTCTCCTCTTGGTATGTTGAGAATTTCCTTCATCTTTAAAAGCTCACCTCATCAAGCCTTTCCTGATACCCACCCAATGCCCCCAACATTGGTACCTGTCTTGACCTCTTTGGATTTCTCAGTCTTACTACATCACTCAGCAAAGTCCTTCCTGTATTATAGTTTTGTACTCCTGGAAGGAAATAATGATGTGTCGATTGCCTGCTATGCCTTCCAAATATTATTTTGCTACTCTAACTCATGATCCCAGTATCAACTGCTCCCTTGTCTAGACAGCCTCACTCTCTTTTGGTTCTCTGCAAAACTCAGACCTAACAGAGTCCCCCAAGAAGTCTGGTCTCAACAAGCCTAAGAATGGTCTAAGCCAGTGTTGGCATTCACAGTTAGCAGGACCTCTGGGATGCATACCGATGTCTTCCTGTAACAAGATACAGGCTGGAGCTAGGTCCCCTCCCCAACCCTGGTGGGTGCTGCAATGTAAACACGTCCCTGATTTTTGCAACACACACAGACCTGGATTCATGAGTACGTATACAAAAGTTCGTGCTTCGTGAGCTGGGAAAGCACCATCTCTCTGTTCTCTGAGGCTCTCTCAAAAGGATCCTTGTATGAAAGGGTTATTTGAGCCCAATGTGACACTGTATCAGCAGCAGAATCCAGCCAATCTTCTCTTAGAGTCAGGCAACCAAATCCTCAGATAATCTGCTGTATGCAGGACTTCACTGAAGCCCTACGTCAGCTGAAGGCACCACTAGAAAGGAGTGAAGGCTCTGGGGCTTGCTAGAACCTCAGACCTCATTCATCCTAGTGCGGGGGTGCCCTGATGATACCTCTAGCCTAATCCACAGGTTTTGAATGCCTTTCATTTTACCAATAAAAATTTATTGCTAATATCTCTTGTGCTAATCAATGTAACTTCTAGGCATAGATTTAGATATGGAGAGTTGACTGTTTGTCATGTCTTTGCCTTTGAACTGTTAACTCCCCATCAGTATCTCTCAAATGCTACCCTCTGCAGTGTGTATCCTTTTCCAGGACACTTCAAATGTTAGCTGCTTCCAGGATATGGGTAAAATCAACTTACACACACATAGCACAGGATTTAAATAGGAATGCTCTAAAGTAACTTACACAGAAGTTAATAAATTCTTCCTCCCCACTCCATTTCCTCCCTTCCCTCTCTTCTTCTTCCCTCTCCCCCTCCTCTTCTGTCCCCCCCTTCCTCTCTCCCTCCTTCTTGCTCTTTTTTTTTCTTGGTAGTCCATACTGAAGAGTGATGGCGTCATAAGAAAGGATCATATTTTGGAGTGTGGAGCATTTCACTAAAAATTAAAATCCACAGACAACTCTGTTCTCCAAAATCCCTCTTAGCCACACTGCCACTCGTGGCTGGCTCTCTTTTCCTGCATCCTGTTCCCTCCCTTAGGAAATTTCAAATTACTTTCCTATAGAATTCTGCCTCCTAACACAGCACTCATTTAGTCCTTAACTTGCAAACCCAAACACCAAGATTCTTAGGAAAAACAAAGGCTCTTGCAGGGCACAGAGCCTGGCCTCATTCAAAGGCTATTTGTGGAACATCTTTAATGCCTTAAATGTGTCCTTGTGGCCTCCACCTCCCCTCACCCTGTTCCTATGCCGTATTTCTGAGCATTTCTCCAAAATAAATACAGTGTTTTCCTCAGGAAGAATGTTGGTAAATAAAATTTTCATCACTGCATTACAGATTTTCAGAATGAGAAATCATTCTTAATTATTAAAGTCTCAGGCAAAATCCAAAATGCATTTTATTCCAGATATGTACTCACCTACCCTCCATCTTTATGGAAGGCACTTACCCTTGATGCAAATATAATATAAATATTCCAGGGCTCTCCTGCATTAGATTTTGTTGTTGTTGTTGTTGTCTACATGCCTTCTTCATTTTTTAAAAATCTCAGCTTTACTGAGGTATAACTGACAAATATCTAAAGTATATGTTGTGATGATGTGATATATACACATACATTGTGAAAGGATCCCCCCATCTACTTAATTCACACAGATATCACGTCACATATTTATCTCTTTTTTCAGTGAGAACATTTAAGTTCTATTCTCTTAGCAAATTTCAATTATACACTAGTGTTATCAACTATAGTCACCATGTTTTATTACATTTGATTCTCAGACCTTATTCATCTTACAGCTGGAAGTTTGTACCTTTTTACCAACCTTTCCTTATTTCCCCATCCCCCCTCCCAGCTCCTGGCAACCACTTTTCTACTCTGTTTCTGAGTTTGGCTTTTGTTTTTGTTTTTGTTTTTAGATTCCACATACAAGCGATACCATGCAGTATTTGTCTTTCCCTATCTAGCTGATTGCTCTTAGCATAACGCATCCATGTGGTGACAAATGGCAGGATTTCTTTGTCATGGCTGAATGATATTTCTTTATGCACACACACATCTGTATCTCACATGTCTTTTTCCATTCATCTGTGGATGGACACAGTGTGTTTCCATGTCTCCGTTATTGTGAATAATGCTGTAATGAACCCAGGAGTGCAGATACAGCCTCCATATCTGTTTCATTTCCTTTGGACACATGCCCCAAAGCAGATTGTGGGACCATCCTCCTCATTTCCTTTTGTTGTCCCCGACTTTAAGTAGTTAGAATTGTAGCGCTCAGCGTACAGGGATCAGAAGACCTTGGAGAGATTTTGAAACTGCTCAAGAACATCTTAGATCTTCTAAATCAGTATCAGTGGGGCAACACCAAGAATCTGTTTTATAAAACCATCTTCAAAAGGAATTTTGATGTCCAGCCCTGATTAAGCTCTTCACCCCCACGGAGGAACTTTACAAATGTCTTTGTGGGGGGCGCCAGAATACTGCTTCCTGTGGCGAGGTGGAGGCTTGAGGCTTCCGGTGACCTTACACACAACTCTGTCACTTGCTCCTGTAGTAACTTCTTCCTCATCACTTGCCTCGGTGTCCACAGCACAACCCACGGTGACAGCCATGTTTGTGCTCATCTGCATGTTCAGTAGTCATGTCACTGGGGGTCACTCTGATTTCACTCTTGCGCCCCATCAGGGGGAGTTGGTCAGCCCCTTCCTACTGAGAGGGACTCATAAACCTGTCTGTGCCTGAGACTCTGACCCTTAAACTTGACCTTCTCTGGTTCCCCCTTTGGATGTATAACTGGAGTGTTGTAGTGTGACCATGTGAGCAGCTAGGTGCTGCCTGTATGGACTGTGGGGATTTCAGCCCGGAAGTTTTCCTTCAGCCACAGACCTGGGGACTACCCCTTGGTGAGCTCCTCGCATAGACAAGATGAAGAACGAAGGTTAGCTTGTTCCTTCTTCCACTGGTTCTAGTTCTACCATCCACCATCAGGGTTTCTCCTTACCCCCACCCGGAGGCCCGCCCCCGAGGCCCTGGGGGTGGTCAGGCTGACAACATACTAGCACACCGGCACGGGTGCCACATCAGACGTGAAATGTGTCCACGTGGGCTGGGAGCCAGCCCGAAGGAGTGACACAAGCTCAGGCCCTGGAGCCAGACTGATCTGGGTTCAAATCCCAGCTCTGTCACATCAAGCATTGTGGCCTTGGGCCAACAACCATACCTGACTGAGAGTCCATTTGCTACCTATAAAATGGAGGTAGTGACATAATAACTGCCTCAGGAGTCGAATGGAATGAAATAAGATGACCTGGGGTCCGTACGTCAGGCACGTAGCACGTGCTCCTTCTTTCCTTGGCTCCCCTCACAGAGGAGGGCGGCGTCCACACCACACCACACCCCTGCCTTCTTTTTATCCTCCTTCTTCCCACAAGGGCACAGATAATAATTACTGGGAGAGCTCTGTCAAGCATCCATTCCCCCATCTCTGGATCCAACCTTATCCAAACTCTCAACCTTGTCTTTCCTGTCTTCCACTCTCTCAGTGACTTCAAATCGCTCTAAGGTGACAGACTCACGTGAGGCAAGTGTGGTGTCTGGGGTGCACAGTTTAAGGAGGCCCCCACTCTTGCACAACCCCGACAGCATGTGCTTCCTTACATCCGGCACGCTGGGTACCTCATTCTAGTCCTGACCCGCTAGGGATTTCATTGCCTCAACTACCATGTGCCACACTGAGGACAATCATTTCCTTTCTCCTGGTAGTTTAGATATAGTTCAGGTTAGTTAACAATAAAGCTTAGGCAACTTTTCTCACTGGCGTGAAGGTAAAAAAAATACAGGTTTCCAAGCCTCATGTCAGACATTTGAAAGCAATTCAGCGCCCCCCACCCCACCCCACCCCACCCCACCTGACCTCCGGCTTCACATCACACCCACCTCCAGGGATTCTGGTTCAAATGATCTGGAGTGGGGCCAAGTGGGTAATTTAAAAAAGCTTTTCAGGTGATTTTTATTGGTGATTAGGGTGAAGTCACCAGAATGGGATCAAAGAATATGCTCCCAGGAAATTCTTACACTCACTACAACTTAAAAATCCAGGGGCGCCTGGGTGGCGCAGTCGGTTAAGCGTCCGACTTCAGCCAGGTCACGATCTCGCGGTCCGTGGGTTCGAGCCCCGCGTCAGGTTCTGGGCTGATGGCTCAGAGCCTGGAGCCTGTTTCCGATTCTGTGTCTCCCTCTCTCTCTGCCCCTCCCCCGTTCATGCTCTGTCTCTCTCTGTCCCAAAAATAAATAAACGTTGAAAAAAAATCCACTGGTGTCCTATTGGGCACTCATACCAGCTCTGGAGCCAAACTCAGGTTCAAATCCTTACCCTTGCACTTGCTACCATAGTATCTTGAGTAAGGTACTTACCCACGTCCTAAATGGGTGGGTACCCTACTTTACCCACCTATAAAATGACAGTAGCAACAGTACCTGCCCCAAAAGTGTTTGTGGAATTAAACAAGACTTAAATCACTTAGCATAACTTAAGGCACATAGAAAATATCATTAAGTAGGGGCTATTATTATTATTAGCATGTTATTAGCATTTGAAGCATTTATTTGGCTCTTACTGGGGGCAAGCAATGTATGTATGTGTGTGTACATATATATAAAATATATATAAATGGGGGTACCTGGGTGGCTCAGCTGGTTGAGTGTCCGACTTCAGCTCAGGTCATGATCTCACAGTTCAGGAGTTCGAGGCCCATATTGGGCTCAGTGCTGAGAGGTTGTCTGCACAAAGCCTGCTTCGGATCCTCTGTCCCCCTCTCTGTGCCCCTCCCCTGCTTATACTCTCTCAAAAATAAATAAAATAAATAAATTACATGAGCCAGTTACCTAATCCCCCTGTGCCTCTAGAAATCATAAACAGCGTCTATAGACTAAGTATATCATGAGGATCCAATGAAATATTGCATGTAAAGTGTTCAGCAGAGGCCTGGCACACAGTAAACGATCAATAAATTTCAGATGTTATAACTACAAATAGAACATCAATAAAAGATAATATTCTTTCACCACTTTTTAATTTTTTTTTAATTTTTAAGTATTTATTTTTGAGATAGAGAGAGAAAGCACATGAGCGGGAAAGGTGCAGAGAGAGAGAGAGGGAGACACAGAATCCGAAGGAGGCTCCAGGCTCTGAGCTGTCAACACAGAGCTTGATGCAGGCCTCCAACTCACAAACCGTGAGATCATGAGCTGAGCTGAAGTTGGACGCTCAACTGACTGAACCACCCAGGCGCCTCATTCCTTTAGCATTTTCAATACAATTATTATTCAAGAAGACGGTCCAACTTGGCTCCTTAAACAAAGCCAAATGTCTTACTCATATTTATTTCTCCAGATTTTAGCCCAGTGGCTGGTCCTCGTCAGGAGTTCAACGCATGTTTCCCAAACATATGAATGAATGAATGAATGAATGAATGAATGAATGTGCATGTGCCTTCACTCTCACACTGATCTTGCCCGTGTCCCAGGACTGTGAAAACCTCACTGACCACGGGCCATTCATTTTGTTTCCAAATGCTGCCGACCTGCCCACAGTTCTAATCAAGAGCAGACCTGATTTATGCTGCCTGTGGAGTGAGCCAGGGAGGTGGAATCCTCCACCGCTGATTTGTTTATCGCTGAGTCCTTGAAAATTGAATAGGGAGGGAGAGGGAGGGATGAAGAATGAATTAAGAGCTACTCCCCATCACATTTGATAAGAGGTCCTTTCACTGTGGCGGAGTATAGCTTTGTGTTGTTGTTAATATGAAAACTCTACAGCTGTTACAAAAACACATGGCAAGTTCCATGCCTGTGTCTTTCACCTGACGGCCACCACGGCCCTGACAGTGATGGAGGACAAGCCACCTGGATTTCAGGGGCTCGATTAATGAACTGTTACTGTCTATGCTATAACTCTGTAATACTCCTCGGTGAATGACTACAGTGTATAAAGCAGAATGCATTTCCCCCATTTAGTGGATATTGATTGAAGGGTTTGTTTTAAAACATTTAGGCTAACTTGGTTGTTTTATTTATTCATATCTGTACATTAATTGAAAGCTCAACAGCTCAGACAGATTGTATTAACTTGATCGCCCTCTACTGGCCATAAGATGGAGCACACACCTGGTTTTGACCAGGTCCTACAAAAGCGACAGCTATTTTTAGAAAGCAGTGGGCTTTTAAACTCCAAAATACTTTCTATGGGTCAGTTATAAGTATAGTCGAGAGACCCAGCTACACTAAACCCCAAACTGTCTGCCTTATTTTTGAATATTCTGCTTCCTGAAAGGAGATGATCTTATATCATATGTTTGGTGATTAATGAAGAAACATGGCCAGGAGCCAGGAGACCTGAGTTCATAGAAATCAGTCTTCTCATCTGTGAAAGGAGCAGGTTGAGGTAAGACAAGCCCAAGGTTCCTTTTGAGTCTCTCCAACTGCTGTGGTATAGATGGCACACATGTACCCTAAGGTCTAGTCCTTATTCTAATGTTTACTCTTGGTGTAAAGTAAAAAAAAAAAAAAAAAAAAAAAAAAAAAAAAAAAGGGGGGATTAAATCTCTAGGGTTCCTTTGAATTCTGCCATGTTATTAACAAGTCATACTAAGCTTAAGCACATATAAATGACTGGGAGAAATTCCCAGAGGATAATTCCAGTTAAATCCCTTTGTGTTTTTGTATTTGTGGGGTTTTTTTTCCTATGAATATTCCCCGGAAAATACAGGGTTTATCCCTTACAGAAACACTTACACCTGTCACTGAAATGACTGTATCTCATGAACAGTCTGAATAAACCCTAACATTTTTATTGTATAGAAGATAGGGGAGGGAAAAGATTCAGACACTAGATTCTAGGCACAGGTTTTCACAAATTGAAAATATGACATGAAGAGGCCCTTTCAAGTCCAAGGAAGAAGAGCCACCTCTGAGTATTTGGAGACACTTGGGAAAAAACAAACTGGACTACCTCCCTCTACCAAGCAGACCTGTAATGTGGTCGGCAGGCAAGCTTTTGCTTCCCTCGCTTTGTGCTGGACTCCTCAGCCCCTGGTCACCGTTCAGAGGAGACAGCTGCTCAGGCAAAGTGAGCGTGATGTGATTCTCCACCCTTGAAACAAACACTGAGAGCATTTAAGAAAGTCAGAGCGAAGCAATGCTGGAAGAAGGTCTTTTTCTATCATGGGCAAAACAGAAAATGCCACCTAAATCAGCATGAAATCGATCGACCTAGCAGTGATCTGGCCTAGATAAAATGCACCAAGCTTCAAGAACTAAAAACAAAAATCATAACTCCCTTGCATCTAATTAGCCATTTATCTGGGCACTTTCAAATGCATACTTTCACTTGCTTCTTAAAACAACCCTGGAAGGGGCAGGCAGGAGCATTATTACGCCCATTTCGTAGATGAAACTGGAAAGCATATGCACCTTGCCTATAAAGCCAAATCGCACAAACAATAAGCACAATCTTTAGATATTCAAAATCATGCTCTAATAGATTTGTTTAGGAAAATACGCAAGTCATTCCAAAGATGTTAGGATTATATGCATGTATGTATGTATGCATGTA